AGGCATCCATGTCCTTCTTTTAAATATTAATAACTCTTGTGACATTGCATTGGATGCCTTGTCATTCATTTAATCTTCTATTAATAGATTGATGTATTTAGGTTTTTAAATTTTTGTACTTTTATAATCAGTACATTAGTGACTGTCTTCAGACATATGTCATATTACTTGTGATGGTATCCCTTCCTAGAGATGAGACTGCTGGGTCCAAGGACATATGTTTCCCATTTTTATATACTCCCAATTGTCCTCCCAAAGGATTGTACCAATGTATACCCTCAAAAATGCTATGTGAGGCTAAATGTGTTGGCTCATGCTTGTAATCACAGCACTCTGGAAGGCAAGGCAGGTGGATTGCTTGAGATCCACCTGTTTGGGATTAGCCTGGAAAGCATGGCAAAAACTTGTCTCTACAAAAAATACAAAGATTAACCAGACATAGTAGCACATGTCTGTAGTCCCAGTAACTTAGGAGGCTGAAGTGGGAGGATCACCTGAACCTGGGAGGTCGAGGCTGCAGTGAACAATCATCATGTCATTGCACACTGCAGCCTGGGCACAGAGTCCCCATCTCAAAAACAAACGTTATGTGAGTTCCTGTTTTCCTTCAGCCTCACCAACATGGGATATCATTAGTTTCTTAAATGTTTGTTTTAATCATGTCCTCTTTGCCCCATAGCTGAGGGAGGGGTTCCCACTCTCACGTAATGGCAGTGGCCAAACACAACATGTGACACTGGACAGGTGAGATTTACTGCACTTTATTAGTTACATATTCCCGGCCCAGGGGAGGAGGACACCGCAAGCCATGCAGGGCCACACAGGAGGTGCACTCAGGAATGGAGTGAACAGCCAGGGGTTGTGGAGGGCAGGCTTGTAGTGATGAGTGAGGTGCTCCTTGGTTCCTGCATGAGAGGTAACTGGCTTGTTTGAGTAATTCTACAGGCTGGTAGGGAACTGAAGCCTACTACTAAGAGATAAGCAGGAACTGCACCTGGTTCATTTGATGAAAGGATTGGCTAGGGGACCTTACCCACAGAAACAGAGCAGGAGGGCAGCTTACAGTTAGGCAATCTGAGGCCCTCTTGATTTTACCAGAAGTCAAGGTAATACATAATTCTTTTTTTTTTTTTGAGACGGAGTCTCACCCTTGTTGCCCAGGCTGGAGTGCAATGGTGTAATCTTGGCTCACTGCAGCCTCCGTCTCCAGGGTTCAAGTGATTCTTCTGCTTCAACCTCCAGAGTAGCTGAGATTACAGGTGCGTGCCACCACACCTGGCTAATTTTTGTATTTTTAGTAGAGACGGGGCTTCACCATGTTGACCAGGCTGGTCTCGAACTGACTTCAGGTGATCTGCCCACTTCAGCCTCCTAAAGTGCTGGGATTAAGGCATGAGTCACCCCCCTAGCTAGTAATACATAATTCTTAAATTCAGCTATTCCTGGTTAATTAGGAGGATTCTTTTTGGTACAGATTTTTGACTGATTTTTTGCATCTATTTTGATAATTGCTTTTTTCTCATTTGACAAACTCATGGCTTATTAATTTCATACAGAATAATATAGTTTTATTTTCTTGAATTGTGTGTAGGACTCGCCCCCCCCTCCCCGAACTCATGACCTGATGAGTATGGTTTCCAGTTTTTCTTTCTTCCTATGCTATTAGGAATTGGTATAAGGGGAATTGGTATAAGCCTTCATAAAATGAAATAGCATTCTGTCTTTTCTGGGTTCTGACAGTTTGGTAGGGTAAAGATTGTTCAGTGAGTTTGAGAGATTTCTTCTATTAAACAACTATCAGAGCCTTTTTGGTTTTTGTTTAGACAAGGTCTTGCTCTGTTGCCCAGACTAGAGTGCAGTGAGTAGCACAATCACGGCCCACTGCACCCTTAGCCTCCCAGGCCCAAGCCATCGTCTAACCTCAGCCTCCTTAGTAGCTGAGACCACAGTTGTGCACCACTGTGCCTAGCTATTGATTGATTGATTGATTGATTGAGACAGGATCTCACTCTGTTGCCCAGGCTAGAGTGGCACAATCTCAACTCACTGCAAACTCCACCTCCTGGGTTCAAGCGTTTCTCCAGCCTCAACTTCCCAAGTAGCTGGGATTGCAGGTGCTCACCACAACAGTTGGCTAATTTTTGTATTTTTTGGTAAAGATGGGATTTCACTATGTTGGCCAGGCTGGTCTCAAACTCCTGACTTCAGGTGAATCTGCCTGCCTTGACCTCCCAAAGTGCTGGGATTACAGCCATAAGCCACCGTGCCCAACCTAATTTTTAAATTTTTTCGTAGAGACAAGGTCCCCCTATGTTGTCCAGGCTGGTCTTGAATTTTTGGACTCAAACCATCCTCCTGCCTTGGCCTCCCAAAGTGTTGAGATTATAGGCATAGGCAACCATGCAACCAGAACCTTTTTTGGACGTATTTCTTGGATTTTTTTTTTTTTTTTTTTTTTTTTTTCTGAGACGGAGTTTTGCTCTTGTTACCCAGGCTGGAGTGCAATGGCACGATCTCGGCTCACGGCAACCTCCGCCTCCTGGGTTCAAGCAATTCTCCTGCCTCAGCCTCCTGAGTAGCTGGGATTACAGGCATGCGCCACCATGCCCAGCTAATCTTTTTGTATTTTTAGTAGAGATGGGGTTTCACCATGTTCACCAGGATGGTCTCGCTCTCTTGACCTCGTGATCCACCCGCCTTGGCCTCCCAAAGAGCTGGGATTACAGGCGTGAGCCACTGCGCCCAGCTGGATGATGTTTTTAACATTTTTGTTATTCTTGTAATTTTATTTCCCAGAAAGTGATCTTTGTCAAGGTTTTCAGGGCTGGATGCAGTGGCTCAGGTCTATAATCAGTACTTTGGGAGGCCGAGGTGGGTGGATCACTTGAGGCCAGGAATTCAGGACCAGCCTGGCCAACATGGTGAAATGCTGTCTCTACTAAAAATACAAAAAATTAGCTGGGTATGGTGGTACTCGCCTGTAATCCCAGCTACTGAGACTGAGGCACGAGAAGCGCTTGAACCCCAGAGGCGGAGGTCGCAGTTAGCTGAGATCATGCCACTGTTCTCCAGCCTGGATGACAGAGCAAGGCTGTCTCAAAAAGAAAAAAAAAAAAAGTTTGTGTCAGTGTGATCATTAATCAGCAAATGACAGATCATCTTAGGTAACAACAAAACAAAGCAAAAAAAAGTATTGATTGGTTCGCTTAACTGATGAACCCAATTATAAATAGTCTAGTTCATAGTTGCTCTGAAAGGAAGGGGATTGCATTAGTTTATTCATTCAACAGTTACACACTATGCTACAATTTAAATGTGTAAATTTTAAGTGAGACTCTGTCTCAAAAAAAAAAAAAAGCTTTTCATATGCATTGAACCAGAGTTAGATATAGTATTCTCTATTTTCCTGGTGTTACTTTAAAGATGGCAAAATCACATTACTCTATGAAATAGGAATGGTGAAATATAAAGAGAGATTAAGTTACGATCAAGACAGAGGTGGAATGGGAACTGGCTGAAAGAAAGGAAAATAAAACAAGCAGAATCAAATGTCTTATTGGAGAAAACAAACAGTACTCTTGGCTCTGAAGAAAATCCGTAATGGTGAGGAAAACCTTGAGATAGTCTTCCAGGGTGCAGAGAAAAGGAACAGATTCATTTGACATTTGATGATCCAATGTGATCATTTTAGAGGAGAGGAAAGAAAAAACCCAAATCTTTTCACAGAATGGACAGAACAAAAACTTTTCTAAGCTGCAAAGAAGACCTTTTTTGTTTCCGGAAAATTAATAGATAAGGCCCATATTGATTTATACTGGCAAAATGTTTGACTTTTGAGGGTAAAGAAAAACCCTTGCAAGCACCAAGCAAATTGCTGACCTTAAACAGACAAACCCAGCTTTGCATTTTCAGTGCCAGAAAACAATGAAATAAAGAAGAGTTTTGAGGGGGAAATCTTGAGACTCAAGAATTCTATAAACAGGAAATCACTGTAAAGGTATTCTCACCTAAGGCAAAGGCTTAGGAAATACAGCATTCCAGAGTCCTCCCAGAAATCACCAGTCATGTGAGAGATAGGTCCAAATGAGGAATAAAAAACGAGAGCACAAAAAACCAGCAGACATTGAAACCAATTAAACAGAGTTGGCAAAAGCCAAAAACAAGGACTGAAAAAGAATGTGGCTTTCGACAAAAGTGTAAACAAAAGCTAGGTGTGTCGTCCTGATTAAGTGGATAAATATAAGTAGTGAGAGCGGCAGATAGGAGGCAGAAAAGCACATTAAATTTCTCATGACATAAAGGGGAATATAAAAACGAATTATTTGTCACTAACTTTACTAATTTGTTAAATAAAAATATTTTCATTTGATTAAAGGCAGCCGCGAGAATTAACACTTTTTTCTTTTACTCTAATAGTAAAATTTAACACTTTCTGACTTGAAAATCACCATAGAAGATAAAAGCAAATGTGGGAAAATTAAGAAAACAGCAATAAATAAAAACTGTAGAGTACGAAGTAATAAGACCAAACACAACCTGTAACAGCAGAGACAGAATGAGTTAAATCTCAGCCAGAGCAGAGGCGCTGCAGTTTTTAGGACAGACCTTCGTGCCTCCAGGCTTTTGGTAATGCCAAACTCTGGGCTAGGCTGGCCTCTCCACCCTATTCAAGGCTGAAAGGCCTCAATTCAGGGCCGACTCCCTCCTCCCGGAAGTCCTCCCGGGCCGCCCTAGGCAGAGTGAGCACTCCCTACAGTGAACACTACCCGCGCGAGCGATGCTGCGCCGCGCTCTGGGTCCAGGACGAAGCCCCACCTCACTCCCTCTCACCCAGGGTTGCGTGTGGTCTGGGGCCACGCGATACGCCAGGCGCGGGGCACGGCATGAGAGCGTTCAATCCTGCTGGAGTGTAATGTGTATTTTTTCTTCGTTGCACCTTCCGGACGGTGATCCCCTATGATCGGCAAGTTTCAAATCGTCCCCGTTTGATTACGAACGGAGGTTACTGCCCCTGGACGCCTCTTGCACCACAGCCGGTGGTCCTCGTGCCTGAGCGGGTCGTCTCTTGGCCGGGTTGGATAAACCCGCGACGGCTCGTCCCGACCCTATCTAGCAGACTTGCAAGGTCTCAAGGCATCCGTTGGGAGGCCGCATCCCGAAGAGTTGGCGCGGGAGAGGAATGGGGCTCGGGGCTCCGAGTCGAGAGCCCCTTCCCCCAAGCAAGAGGGACTCCTCCTCTTCCTAGACGTGGGATGGAGGGAGGGCGCTATTCCATTGGATTTGTTGCAAAGGAACAAGTAGGGCTGAGTCCAAGCCCAAGGGCCTGGAGGGTAACGAGCGACCAGCGGAAGGGCTAGTGGCGGATTTGGGGCGCCTTCGAGAGGGCGAGGCTTTTGGGGGGGGGAGGGTCCCACGCGCGGGCGGAGCGCAGCGACGAAGGGGTTAAGGCGCCGCGCCCCGCCCCAACCCGGGCATTGGCTGCCCCGGGGGGCGTGGCCTGAGGGCGGGCTCGCGTTTGCCGCAGCCGCTGGTGGGCGGGGCCCGGGCGGGGAGCAGGAGGGGCGCGGAGCCGATCCGGGCCCGCGCCGCGCGCCCAGCCGGGCGGGCTTCGGGCTGCACCAGCGAGCGGGACCGGTGGCGCCGGAGTCGGAGACCCTGCGTCGGACCCTGAGGCAGCGAGTAAGTGAGACAGGCCCATCGTGGCATCCCTCCTGGCTCCGACCTGCTGCTGTGCCTCCTGCACTGCGCGGCACGTCAGACCGGACTCAGACTGGGTAGGGGGCGCGTCCCGCTGCTGGGGTCCCAAGGGGGAGGGGAGCGGAGAGGAGGCGGATGATGTCATGGATGCTTCGCCCGGCCTGGGGGGAGGTGGCGGCCGGAGGGGGTGCGGCTCGGATTATGTCACCTCTTCCCTCTGCGCCCCGCCCCCCGGGGCCACAAGCGTTGATGGGGAGCCTGGGGAGGTGCGGGCGGGGTTTCCTCCACTGCAGGGATTCCCAGGTCCTGTGGCCTGTGGCTGGGATCTCTATCAGTTGGCTCTGCAGGCCGTGGGCTGCTGGTAAATGGCGACACCCCCCCCAGCAGAGGCTCGTGTGTGCGCGCGTGTGAGTGCTCGGGGTGTGGGGGGGGGCGCTCTCGGTCCCCTCAGTCCTGAAACACCGGCTTCATCAGAGCCAGGAGCTAGGTGATGGGCCCATTCCCTGGCCAGCGCTTAGGCCACCGTGGGAAGATGGATCTCCCCTCACTCATCCCAACCAAGAAGTTCTGGATATCTCTGCACCCCAAAAACCCTGCATGCCACCCGATCCCTTTCCTCCCTCAGTCCTGCTTCCTGAAAACCCCTCCTGATTCTCCCTGCCCAGATTCACTGCCTCTTTGCATTGCCCATAACTAGCATTCCCACAGGCATTTGCCCTGCATTTCCTTGGTGCAGGGCCCATAGACCCCCAGGACTCTGCCATCTGTGCCCCTGGGAAACAAACCTACAGGCCAGCCCCGGGGAGGCCTCAGAGAAACCTCCTGAGGTATTCTGAGCCAGGTGTTCCAAGATGCCCCCTGTAGGGGTTGGAGATCAGGGATGCTATCCTGAGGCCAGCGTTTGGACTAGTCTAAAAGCATGTAGGATGGGCACAGAGAGCTAGGAAGAGCTTGTGTGTGAAGTAGAGAGGGGCTCAAGTCAGGGGAGATGGAGGAGGGGCATCAGGAGAGGCCTTGCAGACCCTGCTGCAAGCTCTGCTCTGGTTCTGGGGGCCAAGAGGAATACCAGGTATTTTACCCAGAATACATTTACTTCTTAAAATGCTTGTAAGGTAGGTGTGAGAACCCGAGGTGAAATAACCTACATGAGGCTGCACTCCTAATCAGTCAAGGTGGGATTTACACTTGGAGCTGATGCTGCCAGACCTCTGTCTACAATACTTGGTCCTGCTCATGGAAGGATTTGGACAGAGCAGGGACAAGATCAGCTTTGCCCTTTAGAAGGCATCCCCTGGCAGCTGCCTGGGGGAGGGAGTGTATGAGAAGAAAGTCCAGTGAGGAGACCCCAGCTGGGGTGCTGGATGGAAGGGCTGGCTAGAGATTTTTTAGGAGATAGAGTGGGCTGGGGTTGGGGCCTCTGAGACCCCAAGTGTTCCTAGCTTTGGGAGAGACACAGGTTGAGGGGGCGCTGGGTGGTCACCGTGAGTTGAAGGTACCTGTACATGTAACCTTCAGGTAGAGTTCGTTTGGCCCCTCCATGACGCTAATACTGTGTATAATGCTCCGGGCACCGAGGGCTGAGGTGACAGAGATCGAGGCAGTCGGGCAACAGGCTGTCATCCCAGGTGGTGCACTGATGCCAGAAGGCTGCCTTTGCAGACCAAAGCTCAGTTACCTGGACTAGTTCAGGACCCTGATCTTTCCTCTCTGTTCAGTTCCTGCTTATCAGGGAAACATCCCCTTCCTTGTCCTGCCAATGCCCTGCTGGGATTTTGTGGAAAGAAGCTGCATCAGCTGAAGCTTAGGAGAGACAAGGGGCAGGGCATGCTTACAAGGGGTTAACCATGACAGGTTACAATTATGGCAAGAAGCTCTTTAGGGAGTGAGGCTCCAGAGAGAGCTTCTGTGGGTTGACAGTCAAGCATTCCCCAGGTAGAGCACAGAGAAAGGAGCCTCAGGACAATGGCCCTGGGACCTTGTTTCCATCCATGACTCTAGGTGTCTGAGACTGGCTGGGGACTACACACATTGTAGAGAAACAGTAGGGCATAGTGGCATACAACCAGCCCCAACCTATGCTCAGATTGTCCTGTCCCGATCTCAGAGAAGGTAGTACTACGTTTGTACTGCCCCTTATAGTTTACCAAGCACTATACGCTGTCACTCAAGATCACCATGATCACCGTTGAGGTTTATTTTTGCCCAGACCCAGGTCTCTGGTGCAGCCACTTTGCTAGCCCCTTACCTAGATCTTTCACCTCACTATTGGCACCTTTCCTCAGCATAGTAACATACTCAGGTTTTTACTACCATGGTTAATGTTAAAAGCAAAAAGCCCTTGAATCTCAAACCTCCTTAAATGACTCCCTTCTCTTTTAGCAGGAACTCTGCCATCTCTTTCTCTGCATTCCTCTAGTCTTATGGACTGTCTTTGTTTTGTACCACTTTTTTGTTGTTTTGTTGTATTTATTTGTTTCTTTCAAGAGGGAGTCTCGTCGCTCTGTCACCCCTGCTGGAGTGCAGTGGTGTGATCTCGGCTTACTGCAACCTCTGCCTTTTGGGTTCAAGTGATTCTCCTGCCCCAGCCTCCTGAGTAGCTGGGATTACAGGCACGCCCAGCTAATTTTTTTTTTTTTGTATTTTTAGTAAAGATGGGATTTCACCATGTTAGCCAGGATGGTCTTGTTTTCTTAACCTTGTGATCCACCTACCTTGGCCACCCAAAGTTCTGAGATTACAGGTGTCAGCCGTTTAGCCCAGCCTTTTTTTTTTTTTTTTTTTAAGACGGAGTCACTCTGTCTCCCAGGCTAGAGTTTAGTGGCAGGATCTCGGCTGACGGCAACCTCTGCCTCCCGGGTTCCAGTGATTCTCCCACCTCAGCCTCCTGAGTAGCTGGGATTATAGGTGAGCACCATGCCCAGCTAATTTTTTGTATTTTTCATAGAGATAGGGTTTCACCACGTTGGCCAAGCTGGTCTCAAATTCGTGATGTCAAGTGATCTTCCTGCTTCGGCCTCCCAAAGGGCTGGGATTATAGATGTGAGCCACTGCATCTGGCCTTGTACCACTTTTCAGAAACCATTCTGACATAGATATCAGTGATGTCTCCAGCTCCCAAATCCCCAACATACTCTTCAATCCCAGTGTTACCTTGCCCTGTTATTTTTAACACTGGAAACTGTCCCCACATTCTTGAACCCTCTCAATCTTGGCCTTCGGGTGATCCTTCTTTCAGCCATTTTCCTGCTCCCAGAGTGCCTCCCAGACTTCTGGGCCTTTGCTCCCTGGCTCAATGCTGGGCCCCACCCCCAGCACCCTTGAAAACAGATGATCTCAATCTCTCTCCATCTAGTGCTTTCTTTTTTTTTTTTTTTCGCCCAGATTGGAGTGCAATGGCGCAATCACAGCTCACTGCAACCTCCGCCTCCAGGGTTCAAGGGATTCTTGTGTCTCAGCCTCCTAAGTATCTGGGATTACAGGAGTGCACACCATGCCCAGCTAATTTTTGTATTTTTAGTAGAAACAGGGTTTCACCAAGTTGCCCAGGCTGTTTTTGAACTCTTGGGCCTCAAGTTATCTGCTCACTTTGGCCTCCGAAAATGCTGGGCTTACAGGCATGAGCTATCTCACCTGGCTTCCATCTAGTGCTTGAGAAATATCTTCCTCTGTTGTTTCCCAAAACACCTCTTTTCCCCAAGCAGTCTCCCCTATGTTAAAAGTGTCACACACCACCGTGGTCTCCAGTCCAGAGTCCTCCCTTGTCCCTACCGCCTGACCTCATCTGTATGAAATTTTGCCCATACTTCTTTCCCAAACCCTGCCCAGGCTTTCCTACTGGTTTGAAGCTTGAGGCCTTTCAGCTTTCATCCTCCCAATCCCCAGCTGCTGCCTACATTGCACTCAGAGATGGCAAGGGAAAGGGGGCATATTTAGGGTAGGGGGGGTTGCAGGGCTGAGGCATAGTGGGCTGGAGTATGCTGGGGAGTGGAGGCAGAGCGGGGACTAGAGTGAGGCCAGAGAAGCACCTAAGGCACCAAGGGAAGGAGACTGTCACCCTCAGGGCTGTGTGCTGGCTGATTGCACCCTTCACTTGTGCCCTCTGTGGCTCTCTGGCCTCACCCTAGTCCTGGCCTTTGCTTATGGGGACAGACGGGCCCAAAGGAGGATGGTGGCAAAGTGCTCTTCTCCACACTTGTGGGGACAGACGCTGAGAATGGAATTCTACAGAGATAGTGCTCAGGCTTGGTAGTGAACTTTCCAGCAACCTAGGACTCTCATTCCTGGTGTGGGGGCCAGAAGACTCCTGAAGGACAATAGCTTTGTCAGGTTCCCTTGGTCTGGGGCAAGGACACAGCATTAGAACTGGGCAGCTAGGTAGAAGACAGTCTGTGGGGCCACAGGGTGCCACGTGGACCCCTTAACCTTGAAGGGAAGGAGGGCTCCCTGCCTGGTTTATGGAGGGAGTAGCAGGAAAAGGTCTGAAGGGCATCCCCTCCCATTTCCCACACACTTATTTGAGAGTCTAATCCGAGGCAGACGCTGCCTGGTGCCCCTGCCCGGCTTCATTATGCAGATCTCTGGGGCAGGTGTTCCCAGGTGCAAACCTGAGACAAAGGAACGAGGAAGCAGGGCCTACCTGAGCACAAGTAACCCAAAGCCTGGCTCCCCCTGCGCCTGTGGGCCGGCCTTGGTGGTGCGGGACCCGCACCCACAAGAAGGGCTCAGAGGGCTTCACAGTAAACTGAGCAGGGTCAAGGTCCACAGGGGGCGGGAGAGGGAGTAATCCAGGAAGTCTTCCTGGTGGCAGTGAATTCTTAGCGGGTTTGGCATGCGCCGGATCCTTGGGGGCACTGCAGGGTGCGCGACCCCGCCTCTCCCCCCGCCCACCTGTGAGAAACGCAGGCCCCGAGGGAGACTCCGTCAACGCCAGCAGCTGGCGCCACTGCCTCCTCTGCCCCGGCCTCAGCCAGCCCTGAGACCTCTGCGGAGGACTGATCCCGGGAAGGGGGCCCTCTCTTGTCAGGGCCCTGGTGCGGCCGAGCTGGGAAGACCTCCGGGAGGGCGGTCCTGCCACCTGCTGCTGCCGCTGCCCCCGTCCGTCCGTGGGGGACGGGGCGTACTCTTAGCGGCGCCCACCCGCGACCCAGATGCGCGCCGCCCAACCACCCTCCCCAAGTCCCCCATTTCCTCCAGCGCCCGTCGCCTCGGGGCGCCTGGCACGCAGCAGCACCGCAAGGTAGGTCCTTCATTTCTCCCATTTCGCAGAGGAGAAAACCGCAGTCCAGGATGGCTCAGTCCTCCCCTCCAAAGTCGCGCAGCTGGTTTGGGCCGAGCCCTGACTGCGAGAGTGAGGCACATGGCCCCTGCAGACCGGGCCTCGGAGGGTCCCAGGCTTGAGGATCCGTCGGCCCCTCACCCCCTTGGAAAGGCAAGGAGAGAAGCCTGCGCTGGTAGTGAGCTTCCACTTCTGCCCTGACTGCCACTCCTTAGGTTAGGGGGCTGTGAAGGACCCCCACCCTCAATTTTTGGATAGGGGTATCTTTCTCTCCCTCCCCTAACTTTTGAGGTGGTTCCCTGTTGGATTCAGGCACTGTTCTCCCTTTCCAACCCCATTTCTCCAGCCCATGAGGTTGGGATATTAAGGGCCCAGACCCAGGATAGATAATCCCAAAATTCTGGGGTTACAGCAAAGAGTTGAGAAGAGGACCACTGAGCGTGGGAAGCTCATGGGCATGGTGGGGCTAAGGCAGGAGTTTACGAATGGAATGCAGAGCTGAGCTGAGCTGTGCTGGGGGCTTCGTGCATGGAGCCCTGGGGGTTGGGCTTAATCAGGTGGGCAATAGGCAGCCCCATTTCCAAGTTCCCTCTTTTATCCCAGCCCTGTTCCTTCACCTTGGATGCCTGGGAGCCCTTTTACCCATTGTAGGGAAGGGGACACTGAGGGGCAGAGGGGTGCTGGGTTGACTTGGCTGGGGTGGTGGGAGTAGGAGTAGGATCTGACCTATTTCTACCTTCCCACCTGTGCCCACAGTGCCCTCCTGGCTTAGTCATGGCGAAGCTGGAGACACTGCCTGTGCGAGCTGACCCAGGGCGGGATCCTCTCTTGGCCTTTGCCCCACGGCCCTCTGAGCTTGGACCCCCGGATCCCCGCCTGGCCATGGGCAGCGTGGGCAGTGGGGTGGCCCATGCCCAGGAGTTTGCCATGAAGAGCGTGGGTACCCGTACAGTGGGTGGGGGCAGCCAGGGCAGTTTCCCTGGCCCCCGAGGCAGCAGCAGTGGGGCCAGCAGGGAGAGGCCAGGCCGCTACCCCTCAGAGGACAAGGCTCTCGCCAACTCCCTCTACCTCAATGGCGAGCTGCGGGGCAGTGACCACACCGATGTCTGTGGCAACGTAGTTGGCAGCAGTGGTGGCAGCAGCAGCAGTGGTGGCAGCGACAAAGCCCCACCGCAGTATCGTGAGCCCGGCCACCCACCTAAGCTCCTGGCCACCTCTGGCAAGCTAGACCAGGTCAGTCCCAGGGCCTGAGACCCTCACAGCCTTTTTCTGGGGGTGGGAGGCAACGCAGAGAGGAAGGCAAAGGGGTCCTTCTTGGAGGTTGGGTTGTGGGGGCAGGATGGAGGCTGGGCTGAGGAGTCATGGACTAGGGCCCTGGGGCCAAGTCTGTTGGGTGGATCCAGGACAGAGATCTGGCTTCAGGGAGCCAAGAGGTGGAACCCCAGTTGGGGGACCTCAGGATGGAGATCCAGTAGGGGTGGGAGGTGGGGCTGGCCAAGTCTCTGCCAGAGGGAAGAGCCTGGGCCAAGGTCAAGGCCTCATCCTGACACCCTGCCTTTCCTGCAGTGCTCAGAGCCACTAGTCCGGCCATCAGCCTTCAAGCCTGTCGTACCCAAGAATTTCCACTCCATGCAGAACTTGTGCCCCCCGCAGACCAATGGGACTCCTGAGGGACGACAGGGCCCTGGTGGCCTCAAAGGCGGACTGGACAAGTGTCGGACCATGACTCCAGCGGGTGGGAGTGGGAGCGGCCTCTCAGACTCAGGCCGGAACTCCCTCACCAGCCTGCCCACCTACAGCTCCAGCTATAGCCAGCACCTGGCGCCCCTCAGTGCCTCCACCAGCCACATCAACCGCATTGGCACTGCCAGCTATGGTAGTGGCAGTGGTGGCAGCAGTGGTGGGGGGTCGGGCTACCAGGACCTGGGGACCTCTGATAGTGGACGGGCCTCCAGCAAGAGCGGGTCGTCATCATCCATGGGGCGGCCAGGCCACCTGGGCTCTGGGGAGGGTGGAGGTGGAGGCCTGCCATTTGCGGCCTGCTCACCGCCCTCGCCCAGTGCACTCATCCAGGAGCTGGAGGAGCGGCTGTGGGAGAAGGAGCAGGAGGTGGCAGCTCTGCGGCGCAGCCTGGAGCAGAGCGAGGCGGCAGTGGCCCAGGTGCTGGAGGAGCGGCAGAAGGCGTGGGAGCGGGAGCTGGCCGAGCTGCGGCAGGGCTGCAGCGGGAAGCTACAGCAGGTGGCCCGCCGTGCCCAGCGTGCCCAGCAGGGCCTACAGCTGCAGGTGTTGCGGCTGCAGCAGGACAAGAAGCAGCTGCAGGAGGAGGCGGCCCGGCTGATGCGGCAGCGGGAAGAGCTGGAGGACAAGGTGGCCGCCTGCCAGAAGGAGCAGGCCGACTTCCTGCCCCGGATGGAGGAAACTAAGTGGGAGGTGCGGGCTGGAGATCTGGGCCTCCCTCTCTGCCTCCCTTCTGCCCCTCTGGGGAACCCCAGAGCAGTTGCCCCTCACTATCATAACAGGCGATGAAAGGAGCAGGGGGGACAAAAAGCAATTGGGAGTGTCTGTGAGGACCGGAGGCCATCCCCGGGCTGGGTGAGACATGTTCATCCTGAGTCCAGGCAGGGAATGAGGCATTGCTGCTGATGAGGGCTGAGCCTGCTCCGGGAATCTTGGTGCCCCTGGCTCCAGATCTGGTGGCTGGGTTGGGGTGAGCAGAGCTCTGCCTTGACCCGGCTTTTCCTCTCACCTGTTCCTGCCCAGGTGTGCCAGAAGGCTGGCGAGATCTCCCTCCTGAAGCAGCAGCTGAAGGACTCGCAGGCGGATGTGTCGCAGAAATTGAGTGAGATCGTGGGGCTGCGCTCGCAGCTGCGGGAGGGCCGGGCCTCGCTGCGGGAGAAGGAGGAGCAGCTGCTCAGCCTGCGGGACTCCTTCAGCAGCAAGCAGGCCAGCCTGGAGCTGGGCGAGGGAGAGCTGCCTGCCGCCTGCATCAAGCCGGCGCTGACCCCCGTGGACCCGGCTGAGCCACAGGATGCTCTGGCCACCTGCGAAAGCGACGAGGCTAAGATGCGCCGTCAGGCCGGGGTGGCCGCCGCCGCCTCCTTAGTTTCCGTGGACGGGGAGGCGGAGGCCGGCGGGGAGAGTGGGACGCGGGCCCTGCGGCGGGAGGTGGGGCGGCTGCAAGCCGAGCTGGCGGCCGAGCGGCGGGCCCGGGAGCGCCAGGGTGCCAGCTTCGCAGAGGAACGCCGCGTGTGGCTGGAGGAGAAGGAGAAGGTGATCGAATACCAGAAGCAGCTGCAGCTGAGCTACGTAGAGATGTACCAGCGCAACCAGCAGCTGGAGCGCCGGCTGCGGGAGCGTGGGGCCGCAGGGGGTGCGAGCACGCCCACTCCCCAACATGGCGAGGAGAAGAAGGCATGGACCCCCTCCCGCCTCGAGCGCATTGAATCTACAGAAATCTGATGGACCTGGGCACTCGGCCTTATGACAAATGCCCTGTCAAAAGGCCAGAGTCCCCAGTGTCCCCTCCCCTCCACCTCTTTTCCCCGTAGACCCCATATCCCCAGACCAAAGAGGTTCTCTAAGCAGCTGTGACCAGGTTCCTCCCTCCTCACTTGCTCTCCCAGCTCCAGCACTGCCCCTGTGGCATCCCACTCGGACCCTCCTAAAAGAAGGGAATAGGGGGAGGGCAGGGCAAGTGAGGGTGATTCTAGGTGGTGGGGTAGTCATGCTCCCTTTCTTGGCACCCCCTTGATGGAGATAGAGGCAGCAGGCCTGCAGTGATGAGGTGCCCCAGTCCTTCTGGGGTTCTGGGCTGCTACTGTTGGCCCCCCGGTGTCTAGTGATGCTCACTGTGTTCACCTCCTAGGCCAAAGGAGCCTGAAGGGGCCTGCACAGGGTTTGCTGAAACTGACAGACCCTGGGCTCCTGACCTCTCTCCTCCCTGTAGTCCTCTCCTTCCCTGGGTAGATTGGCAGGACAAGTGGGAGCAGATGGCCTGCCTGTGGTTGAGAGGGCTACCTGCCCAGCCCCTCCCCCACCAAGGTCTCTTGGGCTCAGGCCTCAGTGCCTGGCCTGGTCGTGAGTGTGTGTCCCTATGTGTGTGTTGCGGGAGGGGAGGGCTGGGGCTGGAAGTCCAGCACCCAGGGAAGATCTGCCCTCCTGTTCTTGGGAAGGGTTGCCTGACGGCTTCTCGACTCTACCCTCACCCTTCTGGCCAGGATCCCGCAGGGCAACAGCCCCATCTGCTTGACTGACCCACACCCAGGGCCACTGTCCGGCTCTAATACAGCTATTAAGTGCTACCTGCCTCTCAGGCACTCTCCCCCCCCGGTTTCTGAGGTCAGACGAGTGTCTGCGATGTCTTCCCGCACTATATTCCCCAGCCTCTTTCTGCTTTCACGCTCAGCATATCATCTTCCTAGGCAGCCTCCCCCAGAGTCTCACCTTTTCTTCCAGTAGAAAATTCTGCTTGACCTTTGGTGCACTGCCCACTTCCCAGCTCCACTGGCCCAAGTCTGAGCCGCAGGCCCTTGTTTCAGGGGCAGGGGGAGGGTTAGACGTGATTGCCCTTGAAGAACAAGGCTGACCTGAGAGGTTCCTGGCACCCTGAGGTGGCTCAGCATCTGCCCAGGGTAGGCCTGGCATGAGGGGTTAGGTCAGCCAATGTCAGTTCCTTCTCTTGGGGCCCTCTCAGAGTCCATCTCCCCAAGACAGGAAGGGAAAAGCAAATTTCTAATTCACCAGCAATAAAAATTGGAGGAGGCTTGGCCCTCAGCCCTTATATTTCTCTTTTTTCACTCTCTCTTTCTCCCACCCCCAAGACTGAGTTTGGGGGGGCAGGGTGGAGAGAGCTGGCAACTACTGTGAGCAAGTCCCCCAGCCCCTGACCAGCCTCCTCCCATGACTGGTGACTGTTTAATGAGCTGTGCATCCCCCACAAAAACATGAGTGCCCCTCTGTGTGGCCTCTAACCCTCTGCACAGCCCTTCTAGGTGGTCCTCACCAGTTCTCAGAGCTGGGTGGGAGGCCACCCTGGCAACCACTGCCCATTCCATTTACCCCTCACTGCACCTGCCCTAGAACCTGGGCCTAGGCCACAGGGGCAGGGAGAAGAGAAGGCATTAGTAAGAAAAAAAAATATGAACAGACTCAGCTTTGGGACGTCCAACCACAAAAGAAATTATATACAAATATATATAAATATATATCTCTACCATATGTGATGGAAAGACTTTGTTTTCCTTTCCCAAAGAAATAAAATGGAGAAAGCCTCTTGAGTGGTATTCTTTGGCCTGCTGGTGTCTTTGCAGGTGTGGGAGGTGAGGCCTGGGTAGGGGACAGGGGGCAAAGCTGGAGTAAACAGATTCCCCAGAGGAAGCATGAGACGAGAAGTGCTCACCGGCCCATGCCAGGAGGTTGGCCCAAAGCCCAAGCTCTGCCATGTTGCTCGGGAAGAGTCGTGGTTCAACGTTTTTGCCCAGTGGGTCTTTCTCTTCACCTTAGACTGTTGTCAAAGGGATTTCAAGCTGGTTCTATCTCAGAATCTGGACACTAAGCTGAGGAACCAGAAACCGGGTGACATAGGACAGCCAGATGCAGCCTGCAGTTGCCTAAGCCACCCTATAGCAACTGGCAGATTTGCAGGCCGAACGTATAGACATGAAGACTGAGAACAGGTTTGCAGTTAATGGTGAAGCCCCAAAGGCAAAGGGACCCAAGCGTGCTGCACAGCAGAGAGCTTCCCTTTACAACACTTCTGTCATCCTTTCAAAGCACCACAATCAAGAACACATTCTGCTATAAGTAACATGTAGGACCTCAAAGAATGGTTTATTTTTCCCCAACCTGACAAGAAATTGGGAAGTGGGTGTCATGGTTGTTTGATCATTGGGGATCTAGATTTCCATCCTTCCACTGTCCCATCCTTAGCATATTGTTTCCTCCTTACCACAAGGTGGCTGCCACAGCTCAGTGAAGGCCTTGAGGCTCCCCCACTTTATCACGAAAGTGGCCTGCTTTCCCAGGACCCTTTCCTTTAAGTCCTGTTGGCCAGAACTGAGTCACATGCTCCTCTCACTTCAAGGGAGAATGGGAAATGGAGTATTACAAAGAGAAACAGGATTGTGCCTGGGAACAGACATGGTTCATTCCTTCAGGGTAGGCTCTCTGCTTTCTCTGGGTTCTACTGGCAAGGACAGAGTCATAGCAATGAACAGTGTTTGCCCTGGTCTGGCCTGAGTGATAGAACCCTCCCCAAGCAGTAGTGTCTGTGGTCTGGGGCTCCAGATACTCAAACAGTGCTGTTTCCATAGCTCGGGGGTTGGGATGCCAGGCTTGCAGCTCCTTGCAGGGACATGTTCTCCCTACATTGATTTTGGCTTCCTGAGGGAAGCCAAAATGGTGCCCTGGAGGGAAAATGATTTTGCAGCTCGCCCTCACAACCCTTAGGATGAGTGGACTGGTAGAGCCAAGGCATTGACAAGATATGAAAACCCTGATAAGCAGATCTCAAGTGCTCTCAGGAATGGCAGCCTTGGGCCAGGCCTTTCTGATAGGTAGAGGTTTAGTAGAGTCTTTTTCTTGTCTAGGTACCCACACACAGGTGTCAGTATATGTACCCAGTAGGACCCAGCCTTCCTTTTTTGTTTTTGAGGCGGAGTTTCGCTCTTATTGCCCAGACTGGAGTGCAATGGCAGGATCTTGGCTCACCGCAACCTCTGCCTCCCGGGTTCAAGCAATTCTCCTGCCTCAGCCTCCCAAGTAGCTGGGATTATAGGCATGCAGCACCATGCCCGGCTAATTTTGTATTTTTAGTAGATACAGGGTTTCTCCATGTTTGTCAGGCTGGTCAGGAACTCCCGACCTCAGGTGATCCGCCCGCCTCGGCCCCCCAAAGAGCTGGGATTACAGGTGTGAGCCACCGCACCCAGCTACCTAGCCCTCCTTCTTAGGGAGGTGGAGGATTGCCCTGGCTCATGCTCCATAGCTCTGGCCTCCCTAAGTTCCAGCTCAACATCCATTTCTCTTAGCAGGGTCATCTATCCATCATGTCACTAGCTCTTTTCCTGAGAGCACTTTACAGATACATCTCTATTATAAATGCATATTTTTTTTAAAGATGAAGTCTCACTGTCACCCGGGGTGAAGTGCAGTGGTGCAATCTCAGCTCACTGCAATCTCCACCTCCTGTCAAGTGATTCTCCTGCCTCAGCCTCCTGAGTAGCTGGGGTTACAGGTGCCTGCCACCACACCCAGCTAATTTTTTTGGTATTTTTAGTAGAGACGAGGTTTCACCACATTGGCCAGGCTGGTCTGGAACACCTGGGATTACAGGTATGAGCCACCTCGCCTGGCCAATGCATTGCTAAAATTAGCCAGGTGTCATGGTGCACTCATGATTGCACCATTACACTCCAAACTGGGCAATGGAGCAAGACTCCGTCTCAAAATAAATGAATAAATAAAAATAAATACAGGGATTGTTTTTCTCACTGTACAGGCTTCGAGAATTTATGTGAGCTGGGTGCAGTGGCTTATACCTGTAATCCAAGCACTTTGGGAGGCTGAGGCAGGAATATTGCTGTGTCTAAGCTACTTTTTTTTTGAAGATGGAGTCTTGCTCTGTTGCCCAGGCTGGAGTGCAGTGGCACGATCTGGGCTCACTGCAACCTCCACCTCCCGGGATCAAGTGATTCTCCTGCCTCGACTTCCTGAAGAGCTGGATTATAGGCGTGCGCCACCATCCCTGGCTAATCTTCGTATTTTTAGTAGAGACAGGGTTTCACCGTGTTGGCCAGGCTAGTCTCGAAATCCCGACCTCAGGTGATCCGCCCACCTTGGTCTCCCAAGTGCTGGGATTACAGGTGCAAGCCACCGCGCCGGCTCTAAGCTACAGAACGACTTCCAGAGTGATGCATCCAGGAAGGTGTTTTCCCTCTGCAGGTCCTAGACTTTCCCAGACTCCTGAACAACGTCCTCCAGTGGAAAATGTCCTTGGAAAACGCTGACAGAGTCTTTTGAGCCTCAGCCGCACCCGTCACTTGCGCCGCAGGCGGAAGTAGCGGACAGTTGGCCGGAAGTGAGGCTGTGAGGCTCGAGTTGCTGTAGGAGCGTTCGTGTCGCCGCAACTCGCGGGGTCCCGGGTTTGTTGTTGCGGCGCCCCCTTCAAGAGGATCAGGTGAGTGGCGGCGGCCGGGCAAGAGGTCGCGGCGGCCGCCTCCTGTGCTCACGACTGGCCTGGGCCTTGACCTGTGTGCCTCTTGCCCTGCCGGCCGGCCCAGGGCTGGCGCGCACCGAGGCCTTGTTTAGCGCTTCTTGGCCGGGGTTGCGAGTACCTCCCGCAGGCCTGGCTGTGGTGAGAACTTCAGTGATTCTCGCCGCTCCCGACTTTTGTGACCTTTGGCAAGGGGCTTATGTAGCCCTTGATTTTTCCTCTGTGAAATGGAGATCGTAACAGTGCTTGTCTCACGGTGCTGTCATGAGAATGTAGTGAGATATTCTGCCGTGCCTCTCATCACACTTTAACGTGCCTGCGAATCGCTTAGAGATTCTGATTCTGTAGGGCTGGCGTGGGGCCTGAGATACTGTGTTCCTGACCAGCTTCCAGACGAGGCTGAAGCTTCTGGCCCGCAGACCACTCGTTGAGTAGCAAGGCCCTACAGGATTTTGCTTAGTACTTGGGATGCGGAGTCTTCAGTAAACATCAGTATGATACGATATATACTCCCGCCCCCCTCCCCCCATTTTTAGCAGTTTATAAGGGTAGTATTGATGGCCTTCTCCCCTTTGTTTCTCTCCATGGGTAAGAATAGTTACTCTCTCTTTCTTTGCAAACCATGACACAGCTCTTCTGTCTTGATTCAGGGAACTTTGGGTCCCCTCATATCAAATATGTTCATCAGTCTCCTCGGGTGGTGCTTCACTGATCAGACCCTTGGACAGTGCTTCATCCAGTGGAGCCGATAGCCAGCTGCATTAGCACCAACTGTGGCTGAACGTTTTGTGCTCCAGTCATTTGTTGCTGCTGGAATCTTAATTCACGTTTTCTCCACTTTGTGAATAGTAAGAATGGCCGCCTTTCCAGAACTAGCTTCTGGAATGATCTTGAATGATCTTGGGCAAGTCCTCGGATGATTTTGTTACTACCTGGTAGACTAAAATAAAATCCGAAGAGTCTGTGCTGCATAACAGAACTGAAAAAGTGAGGCCTTTGGCAGTTACGCAGGTCTGATGTTTATTAGTCAGTATGATTTTCTTTCCCATCCGTTGGTTTATTTTGCTAGTCCCTAATAAGGCCTTGCCATTCATCATGTGTGAATAAGTTAACTTTGATATAAAAGAATTCCAAGGTCAGGTGCAGTGGCTCATGCCTGTAATCCCAGCACTTTGAGAACCTGAAGTGGGAAGATTGCTTGAGCCCAGGAGTTCAAGACCAACCTGGACAACATTGGGAGACTGTCTCTACAAAAAAACAAAAAACAAAAATTTAGCCAGGAGTGGTGGCACGATCGCCGTCCAAGCTACTCAGGAAGCTGAGGTAGGATTGCTTGATATCCTTGAGCGACCCTCAATGGTGGGTGGGGGTGGTGGAGGATGCCGGGAGCTGAGATTTCACCACTGCGCTCCAGCCTGAACAACAGAGCGAGACCCTGTCTGAAAAACACAAAAGGATTCTGAAATTCCTTCTTTGCTTGTCTGAAATACTGTACTATATAGCCTTGTAAACTGTAAAAGCAGATAAAATCCAGTGTTTGTTGAGCTATCAGTTACAGGGCCATGCAGCTGCCTCTCTTTACCTGCCTGGATTTTATAATTTCTCTACAAGTCCCATTTAGATGAGCTGAGAGGACATGAGTGCCTACTCCCTGTTGTTACATGGAGAGGTTTTCTAAAGACAGGGTTTTATTAAACCCTTTAAAAGCAGTAGCTCTAACAGAATCATCTATAGGACTTAGTCATACTATATCCATCCATATCTTTCTTGCCATTCTGATAGAGGAATAGCAGAGTCTTAGAAGAGAAGGGGGAGGGCTGTATAGCTGAAAAAGTTTCACAAATTGTGATACAGTATTTTTTCTCCTGTAAGCATAGAATCTAGAACAAAGAGGAAGGACTAGATTGCTAGACTTAATAATTTTAGTTTGGCTTAGACTTGCGAGTGACACTTGACCTAAACACCTTTGCACTAGTACTTCACCTTTGCAGTACTGGTAGACTCGTCTCTCATAGGCTCTGCTCCCATGTGGAAACAGAAACACAGAAGAGTCTAGCCCAGTTAACATCCACATTAACAGCTAAGAGTCCTTACTGTCAGTCTCTAAGCTCTCAGTAGGGACTTTGAAGTTTTGTAGATTTTCAGCAGGAGACCTCAGCGCCTAGAGAAAGTTCTTTTTTTTTTTTTTTTTGCCTTTTTTTTTTCCTGAGTAGAGACAGGGTCTTGCCATGTTGCCCAGACTGGTTTCGAACTCTTGGCCTCAAGTGATCCACCCGCCTCGGCCTCCCAAAGTGGTGGGATTATGGTCATGAGCCAGTTTTTTGCTTTTTTTTTTTTTTTTTTTTTTTTGAGTTGAATTCTTGTTCTGTTGCCAGGCTGGAGTGCAGTGGCACGCTCTTGGCTCACTGCAATGTCTGCCTCCAAGGTTCAAACAATTCTCCTGTCTCAGCCTCCCAAGTAGCTAGAACTACAGGCACGTCCCACCACACCCAGCTAATTTTTGTATTTTTAGTAGAGATGGGGTTTCACCATGTTGACCAGCATGGTCTCGATCTCTTGACCTCATGATCCGCCCACCTTGGCCTCCCAGAGGGCTGGGATTATAGGCATGAGCCACTGTGCCAGCTGCTTTTTTAATTCTCAAGGTTGCTCAACAAATTATTTGTTGAGACACGAATAGGGTTGGAGTGTTCATTTATTTGTGGCAATTTTATTGGGACGTAGAAAGGAAAAGTGTTAGAATTGAGGGATCAGATCTGGAAATTGGTAAATTGTATGTGTTTAAGGTATTATATACTCAGTCTGCAGTTAGCATAGCTGCCTTCCTCTGCCTGGCCCCACTCCTCTAACTTCTGGACTCTAGTTTAAAATGAAGCTATTTGGCCTTGCTTAGATCTGTATGTGGAAGGGAGAAAGGTAAGATGCTTCAGTCCTGTGAAATCACATCATTCAGGGAGGTTTGGGCATTGCCTTTTGGAACTGACAGTGTCCAGGGGTCTCTGAGGCTCTACTCTGTTTTCTTAGGACCCCTAAAGAGGAGATGGGGAGAAAGGTATACTTGGGGCACTTAAACTAGGAAAGGAGCTTTGTGAAATCATTATCAGGTTATCTTTGAACTTTTATTGAAAAAAGTTGGGTGCAGTGGCTCATGCCTGTAATCTCAGTACTTTGGGAGGCTGAGGCAGGTGGATCACTTGAGGCCAGGAGTTTGAGACCAGTCTAGCCAACATGGCGAAACCCCGTCTCTACCAAGAAAAAAAAAATTAATTAGGTGTGTTGGCATGTGCTTATACTCTGAGGTGCTTGGGAAACTGAGGAAGGAGAATTACTTAAACCAGGGAGGCAGAGGTTGCAGTGAGCTGAAATCATCATTCCACTGCACTCCAGCCTGGACAACAGAGGAAGACTCTGTCTCCAAAAAAAAAAAGTAAAACGTTTTAATTTAACACTGAGCATCTCATAGTGTTCTCTTTTTAGCTTTCTTATGGATTCTCTGGGAGTCCTTGAGTGAGGAACTAAGTCTTTCAGGTGTGTTTTCACTATCTGGTCAACACATCCTGACTGCCTCTTCCTTGTAGTGTCTTTTCTTCGTACTGTTCTTCTCTGCTGCTTCCCTATATTTTCCTTGTTTCTCTTTCCTTTTCCACAGTACTCAAGACCAGCTACTGAAATGGCTCGATTTCAGACATATATATGTAGATATGGTTTCTATAGAGTTACTGTAAATGTTGCATGGTGAAAAAAATAAGTAGCCACTTTGCCATTTGTAGGTTGTCCCTTCATGCCTCTAAGATTCCTTCTTTTGTTATCATTTCTGTTATTGAACGTCTTTAAAGAAGTTCTACAGATAGTAGAAAGCGCTTGCACTGGAAATAACTTCAGTATTTTCCTTGTATATTAAGTTACTTCATGCATTATCTTGAACAGTACCATACTATCCTGATAATACAATGCATTTTGTAAATTTAATTTTTGTCAGAATTGTACATGTACATGGTTTAAAGAGTCAAATAGTTCAATAGAGCTTGCAACACTAAATATTAGTTTCCTGTCCTCCTCCTCTTTTTTTTTTGAGAGAGAGTCTCGATCTGTCATCAGGCTGGAGTGCAGTGGCAACCTCAGCTGACTACAATCTCTGCCTCCCAGGTTCAAGAGATTCTCCTGCCTTAGCCTCCCAAGTAGCTGGAATTACAGGCACCCACCACCACGCCTGGCTAATTTTTTGTATTTTTAGTAGAGGCGGGGTTTTGCCATGTTGTCCAGGCTGCTTTTGAACTCCTGACTTCAGGTGATCCACCTGCCTTGGCCTCCCGAAGTGCTGGAATTACAGATATGAACCACTGGGCCTGGCCAGGTTTTCTCCCTTTTTTGGTTCCATTTTTACTCCCCGGAAGTACTTTTAACTACTTAACTATTTCTTTTGCCACTGATTACTGTATTTCTTTTTCCTTTTTTTAAAAAGTTTTTTGAGATAGAGACTTGCTCTGGAGTGCAGTGGCATGGTCTTGGCTCACTGTAACCTCTACCGCTTGGGTTCAAGCAATTCTCCTGCCTCAGCCTTTCCAGTAGCTGGGTTTACAGGCATGCACCACCACACCCGCTTGATTTTTGTATTTTTATTTACTTATTTATTTTTCAGATGGAGTTTTTTTTTTTTTTTATTTCTATTTATTTATTTTTGAGACGGGGTATCACTCTGCCATCCAGGCTGGAGTACAGTGGCATGATTTTGGCTCACTGCAACTTCCGTCTCCCAGGTTCAAACGATTCTCCTCCCTCAGCCTTTCTAGTAGCTGGGTTTATAGGCATGTGCTAATTTTTATGTTTTTAGTGGAGACAGGGTTTCACCTTGTTGGCCAGGCTAGTCTTGAACTCCTGACCTCAGATGATCCTCCTGCCTCAGCCTCCCAAAGTGCTGGGATTACAGACGTGAGCTGCTGTGCCCAGCCTGGTTTTTGTGTTTTTAGTAGAGACAGGGTTTCACCATGTTGGCCAGGCTGGTCTAGAACTCCTGGCCTCAAGCAATCTGCCCACCTCAGCTTCCCAAAGTGCTGGGATTATAGGTGTGAGCAGCCACTACTCCTGGCCATCACTATATTTCTTTTTTTATTTGTATTTTTTGAGATGGAGTCTTGCTCTGTCACCCAGGCTGGAGTGCAGTGGCATGATCTCGGCTCACTGCAACCTCTGTCTCCCGGGTTCCAGCAATTCTACCTCAGCCTCCCGAGTAGCTGGGATTACAGGCATGCACCACCACGCACAGCTAATTTTTGTATTTTTAGTAGAGACAGGGTTTTACCATGTTGGCCAGGCTGGTCTTGAACGCCCAATCTCATGATTCACCTGCCTCACCCTCCCAAAGTTCTGGGGTTACAGGAGTGAACCACCATGCCTAGCCGGCCATCACTGTATTTGTAAGTAACACCTTTGTGTTGCTGTTTATTAATTTCTTTCTTTCTTTCTTTCTTTCTTTCCTTTCTTTTATTTTCTTTTCTTTTTCTTTTCTTTTCTTTTCTTTCTTCTTTTAGAGGCAGGGTCTTGCTCTGCTGCCCAGGCCGGAGTGCAGTGGCATGATCATGGCTCACTGCAACCTTTGAATTCCTGGCTCAGGCTATCCTCCCACCTCTGCCTTTTGAGTAGCCAGGACTGTAGGTGCATCCCACTATTCCTGACTATTTTATTTTATGTTTTTTTTTGAGACTTGCTCTGTCTCCAGTGCAGTGGTGCGGTCTTGGGTCACTGCAACTTTCGCCTCCCGGTTTCAAGGGATTCTCCTGACTCCTGAGTAGCTGGGACTACAGGTGGGCACCACCACACCCAGCTAATTTTTGCATTTTTAGTGGAGTCAGGGTTTCACCATGTTGGCCAGGATGGTCTCAATTTCTTGACCTTGTGATCCGCCCCCCTTGGCCTCCCAAAGTGCTGGGATTACAGGCATTAGCCACTGCACCCAGCCTGTTTTTATTTTTTATAGAGACAGAGTCTTGCTGTGTTCCCCAGGCTGGTTTCAAACTCCTGGCCTCAAGTGATCCTCCTGCCAAAATACTGGGATTACAGTTGTGAGCCACCACATCGGGCCAATTATACTTTTTTATTATGGGGCTCTAGGTCTTTTGTATCATGAATCTCCCCCTACCCCTCTTCCTCTCACTTTATCCTCCCAATATAGGTTTGCTCATAATTTTTGGTTAGGTTAATACCAAGATAAATGTTATTAAAATTGTGTTAGTATTATTCTCAACTGAATAGGGAGTATAATATGATAACATTCTCTTTCTTTCTTTATTTTTTGAGACAGGGTCTTTCTCTGTCACCTGGGCTGG